CACTTTCGCTTTCTGGACAGCAGCGTGGAAAGCGGTGAAGTTGAAGCGTGAAAAGCGGTAAAGCGTGAAAACAGCTTAACACCTCTAAGGCAAAACGCTTCGACGCAAAATATCTTTCGGAACTAATTTCTTTGAATTTGTGGGTAGCTAATCAAAACGACTAATGAAAGCGGGGTATTTGAGCAAAATCGAACTTTCGCTTTCAAACCGGCAGCGTGGAATCATAAGTCTCGCGGAGAAGCCAGCTTAGAACCACGGAGTTTATGCGTCAGGAACTTCTCCTCAAAAATCACAAGCTTTCCATACAGATTTCCGAAATCTCCCGAAAGATGCTCGAATTCAAAACACTAACAAAATCCTACTTCCGTCCTTAAAGGCAGTGTCCGGGCAAAAACTCGATTTTGAGATTTTGTGCTTACTTGGGCCTATTCGCTACGCTGAATCCAAAAATGCACATTGTAGAGCGCGAAAATGGCGAAAAACGGCTCTAACACAGGAGGGAAATGAGCAGGTGGACGGGGTCCTCCCCACTGCGAATTCACGTTCCCGGCTTCCGGAGCGACCTTCTCGCTTCCGGTTTCAAGTCAATCATTCGCACTTGACCGGTAGCGATGTTAGGACGGCTAGCGGAATCGAAAAAATCGCTCCGGGAGCTGGGAGCTTGAAATCGCACTGGGGAAAGCCCCGCCCATCTGCTGACTTCCCTCCTGTGTCAGAGCCCTTTTTCGCCTTCTTCGCGCTTTCCAATGTGGATTTTCGGAATCAGCATGGCGTATCGGCCCTTACAAGCACAAAATCTCAAAATCGAGTTTTTGCCCGGACACTGCCTTTAAAGGCAGGGTCCACGCTGAACCTAACTTTCTCCGATTACCGTCGATCCTGAATGTAGGCCCCAGAAAAGGGGCATCTGCGTTGGTCCGGTCTTCTAACGTTGTCTCTGAATGGAGATAAGGGGCCTGGAAGTCCCTGGCTGGCAGAGTCTGATATCAGACTCCGCCCAGCCAGGGACTACCTCCCGACCGTCTTGACATGGTAGTGAGCAGAAGCTGCACACTGCTGAACTTCACCCATGCAGTTCCAGCTCCTCCCCGCTGGCCTGCCGACGGGGACGAGCGATTCGAAACTCGTCCGCGCCCTCAAGACAGGGTCTCCAGGAATCGGATTTTTTGTGAGTTTTGGAGAGTTTGAAGTTCGAAACTGCAATCAGGGCCACGAGGCCCCAGAATGACGGAAACATGGGGGGCCAAATTCTGGGTGGACGCTGCCTTTAAAGAAAAGAGGCAGGACGAACATGGTCTCGTTGAGAGAAAGGACCAGGAACCTTATGCGGCACGAACTTATTCTTAGAAACTGCAAGGTTTCATGGACAAATTTTGAAATATTGTCGAAAACTCCCAGGTTTTTCCAATGAGAAAATCCCACTTTTGTTCACAATAACAGAACAATGTGAACATGGTCTCTCTGGCAGAAAAGACCACGGACTTCATGCGGCACAAACTTTTTCTTAGGAATTACAAGGTTTCACAGACAAATTGCGAGAAATTTGTTGAAAAATACTTCTTTCTTTTTCACTGAGAAAATCCTACTTTTTCCCCAAAAATAAAAGAGCAGGGCGAGCATGGTCCCGCTGGCAAAAAAAACCAGGAACTTTGTGGGGCGAAATTTTTTTGGGAGTTTCCAAGCTTTACTGACAAAATTTGATCTCGAAAAGACTTTATGTTTTTTCACTGAGGAATTCATACTCCTGCCCAAACAGAAAAGGTCAGGGTGAGCATGGTCCCGCTGGCAAAAAAGACTAGGGGCTTCGGGGCGCGAAATTTTTTCAGGAGCTCCAAGTTTTACGGACAAAATTTGATGTCGGAAGAACTTACGGTTTTCTTCTCACTGAGGAGTTCTTACTTCTGCTCAAAAAAAAGAGGGGCCAACACGGTCTCGTTGACAAGGACCAGGGACCTTATGCAACACGAACGTTTTCTTAGGAGTCCTAAGGTTTTACAGCCAAATTGCGAGAAATTTGTTGAAAAATACTTCTTTCTTTTTCACTGAGAAAATCCTACTTTTTAAAAATAAAAGAGCAGGGCGCGCATGGTCCCGCTGGCAAAAAAAAACCAGGAACTTTATGGGGCGAAATTTTTTTAGGAGTTTCCAAGCTTTACTGACAAAATTTGATCTCGAAAAGACTTTAGGTTTTTTTCACTGAGGAATTCATACTCCTGCCCAAACAGAAAAGGTCAGGGTGAGCATGGTCTCGCTGGCAAAAAAGACTAGGGGCTTCGGGCGCGAAATTTTTTTAGGAGCTCCAAGTTTTACGGAAAAATTTGATGTCGGAAGAACTTTCGGTTTTCTTCTCACTGAGGAATTCTTACTTCTGCTCAAGAAAAGAGGGGCCAACACGGTCTCGTTGACAAGGACCAGGGACCTTATGCAACACGAACTTTTTCTTAGGAGTCTTAAGATTTTACAGCCAAATTGCGAGAAATTTGTTGAAAAATACTTCTTTCTTTTTCACTGAGAACCTACTTTTTCCCCAAAAATAAGAGAACAGGGCGAGCATGGTCCCGCTGGCAGAAAAGACTAGGGGCTTCGGGGAGCGAAATTTTTTTTAGGAGTTCCAAGCTTTACTGACAAAATTTGTTGTCGGAAGAACTTTCGGTTTTCTTCTCACTGAGGAATTCTTACTTCTGCTCAAGAAAAGAGGGGCCAACACGGTCTCGTTGACAAGGACCAGGAACCTTATGCAACACGAACTTTTTCTTAGGAGTCTTAAGATTTTACAGCCAAATTGCGAGAAATTTGTTGAAAAATACTTCTTTCTTTTTCACTGAGAACCTACTTTTTCCCCAGAAATAAGAGAACAGGGCGAGCATGGTCCCGCTGGCAAAAAAACCAGGAACTTTGTGGGGCGAAATTTTTTTAGGAGTTTCCAAGCTTTACTGACAAAATTTTTATGTCGAAAGAACTTTCGGTTTTCTTTTCACTGGGGAATTCATACTCTTGCCCAAACAGAAAAGGTCAGGGCGAGCATCCCGCTGGCAAAAAAAGACTAGGGGCTTCGTGGGCGCGAAATTTTTTTTTTGTGAAGATTCTTAGGAGTATTAGAAGATGTTGTATTTTTGATAGGAAAGCTTTGGAGGTAATGAGTGTGTTCCGCGTCCAGGGAAGAACAGAGGCCTTGAAGTATTATAGTTATTTGGATCAAGTGTATGAAAATTTAGAATTACAAAGAAATTCCGCTTCTCTCGAAAGAGCCGGTTAATCAATAAATTTCGCTTCACTTAAAAAAACCTTGAATTATCAAAACCTTTGGATCCATTGCAAGAATTTTTAGGCACAACAAAGTGGTGGTGGTTCTACAATAGGACTGAGAGGCGTTTCGCAAACTCCGTGTCTTTTAAGGAAAAGCCTAAAGATAAAAAGGAAATCTTTAGCGCTAGCAAAAATTTTGTGGATTTAAAGGAAAGGCTGTCTTGTGGAAAAACTTTAATAATCGATGTTACCGCTTAACCTCTGATAGAACCTAAGGTGCGAAAAGAATTCGAATCGAATCCACGGGATTTTGGAGAAGTGGTTGTTGGAACTTCAGAGGAATTTTGATAACGTTGCTAAGAAGCCTTGTTTGGAAAATATTTGCAGAACTTTCCGAGTAACCCATGGGTAATCGAGATTAACTTTGGTAAGACTATTAGTGCTCAAAAACGGTGCAGCAAATTGTGAATATTCTTTTTTGTCATTGTACCGTAAGCTGCAACATGAAGCAAATAATTTTGTTCAAATGTCCCTATTGTTAGTGTGCAAATAAGTGTAGCTTTGACTCACTAATGAATTGGCCTCAACCCACTTGCTAGCGACCCGTAGGGTCGCTAGTACTCAATATATCTTTTGTTGCAAAGCATCGGAACCAACAGATTATCGTGAATTTGGCGCCCCTCACCCAATGCGGCAAAAAAGTTTTTGGTAGCCTCCATTGTTTTACTGCGGCGTGCTGCTCAAAGTTCAAAATTACTCAAATTAATGAGCTTTGATTCTAAGTATATCAAAAGAACATTATTCGATAAATGCTCAACTATTCACCTCGGTGAGAAATCTATGATATGATTGAATTTTAAACGCATTGTCACGGCACGGCTGTCAAAGGACCTCATGTTGGTTGATGTACCAAATGACAACATTGAGAAGCAGCTCATCGGCTTTGCGATCGTAAACGTATGAGCAAACAGCATTTGTGCCCATAGAAGAGACGGCGATTGTGCAAAGGTTGAAGTTGTATATAAACTCGAATGCCTTGACTATATCGGAGAGACGTCTAGCAAGCATGAGCAAATTGGTAACACCGTTAGATACCCATAAAAAAGACTCGCACAATGGAAATGACAGTATAAAAGGCAAATCTTAACTTGCGAAATCGAAATCTCAGCTAGAAAACCATTAGAAGCCTTCTGCCAGTTTCCGCCAAAAATCCAGAAGTGAATACCAAACATGTGTGCTTGGGTCACTGCCGCCTCTTTGCCATATATGCCACTGTGCGAGCTATAGACAACAGATAGTTCGCTCTGTCTTCCAGATTATTATTTACTTATCCGCTAGCGTCATTTGTTTCGTTTGTCTGAATCTTCCGTTGCGGACTCTTTCAAAAGCGATGATATCACGGTGGCTTCATCTCAGTCTTGAGGGTTTCTTCGGTGTGAATTCGAAGGAATGTCGTAACTAATTGAGCAAAAGAAGTTTGGTGGTGTGGTTTTCGCAGAGCTTTGAATTTTATTTACGCCTAAGGACGACGACTGCGTCGAAACATTAGGCCACCACGAATAAAGACCATAACAAACCTGTGCATGGCACAAATAATCAAAGAATATGAATTTGAGAGGATTGCATTCATGCTCTGGGTCGCTCTACTTTTAGATCACCCTAATACTTCTTCTTTCGTTGTATCCTTATGTCTCGATTTCATATCATTTCATTGTCCTAGGCAAAATGTTGAAAACCTTCACATTCAACCTTACCTTTTGAACGAATTATCAGTGTTGTCGAGATTCTCAATACTGTCATTAGTAAACAGATCCATCCGATCGCAAGCGATTGCAATATGGATCATCCCATATAGAGGAAATTGCTTCAACTTTATCATCACGTCTTGTACTCGCCTTTTGGTATCGTTATTTGAATCTGCAAAGAAGCCAATGATAAATGAAAAAATTGTATGAATTCTACAGGTAGAAATTTCACCTAGAAATTTGAATAGCATTTGGCACTCCATGCATCTTCGGCAAAGATCAACTGCATCTTCAAGTTCATTGGACCGAAATAAGCTGTATACTGGAGAGTTGGGAGTTTCTAAAAAAATCGCTTTCTGTTTTCTATATCTTTTCTGTTATTTGTGAACAAGGTCAGTTTTCCTTCAAAAATTTTCAACTCCTTTTGAAAAATTGCAAATTCTATTATGAGTAATGGAAGCATACCTCCCAATGATGCTACCACATGAAACAACTTTTCAGAAGGATTGTTCTTATACGATCCTTGCACAACTCTAAGCGGTGGATCGAATTCGTTCTCAGGAAACACAATCTGAAAAAAAAATTATATAGGGACAATCAACAAGTTTTTGATAGTAATTCTTTGACGAACCTTATGTTCTTGAAGAAGTTCCGGTGGAAACTGAGTTACTTCATCAACATTTGACGGAATCCAGTAGTCTTCACCGAAGATACTTTCTCTTGCTGACGTCCAAAGCTCTCCTAATTTGCCGGACATGGAGACGAAGCTAAAATTGAACACTTTAGGAGATCCTATAAGGAATCGAACAAAACAGTGCGGAAAATGGAATCGATATAGAGGTACTTGTGTGTACCTCAATGAACTCCCAGGACCTGTTTTCGACAACAACACATGCAAAGCATAAGCAATAACAAAATTGATGTAGCCATTTTTTCCACATGACACACGGTTAATGATGCTCTCCTTTGCTGTCATCGCAGAATAGCTTATTCAAAGTGTAATAAATCATACCACGAAATAAGCAATGCGTTCCTCTAAAAATTTAGCAGCTTCATGAACATTTATAAATAAAAACCGCAATTTCTCCGAGGATTGAGTTATCTTTCATAAAAAACAGACGTAACTCTACGAATGAAACGTATACCCCCCCCCTTCCCCCCCCCCCCCCCGAGAACGGGTCGCGAAATTTTTGAAAGTTAGTTACATGAGTTATAAAAATGCGCAAGTGACTTGTTTTACTTGTAAATAATTAAAACATTTTTTAAAATTTTTTAAAAATTCAGCCTTATAAAAAAATTTTTTCAGGGGCGTTTCTGAGCCCGCGAAAATTTTAGGGAACATACCAAAAAAATTTTCGGAGTGCGTAGCTGACCCCACGCACCTTCATCGGAAAATTTTTTTTTGTCGCCCCCCCCCCGAGCCGAAATCCTGGGTACGCCATTGCTTACTTCATATAAACTTTACTTGAACAATGGGCAATCAGTTATTCCCACCATTAGCTGTGAATGAAGGTCTGCTATTTTAAACTGCCTAACAAAACGATTTAAATTTTTGCGGTTATGACATGAAAGTAGAAGAAATAATGTGGCCTCGGGATTGTCTCTTCATTTTTTTGATTTTTATTATATAATAGACCAAAACAAGTTGGCTTCCGATTCTTGGCGTAGAGTTCATCCACTGGACCCGAACTTACATATTTTTAAATTAGCCAGAAAACTAAGCAGCTTCGATCAGGCAACGGTACACCACTGCAGTGCAGTGCTTTTCGCGGCAAGAAATTGAGAAACAAAAATAAGCAGAAGATTTGAATTTATAGCCATTTTTTATGCCAAATTTCAAATACCTTGGAAATTTGCGCGTTAATACAAGGGTATCTATGGTACTATAATATTTCTAAAAACTTGTAGTACAAATGACAAGCTAATACAGTTTGTGACTGTTGAACAAAAGCTTACCCCTAACGTTCTCTCGATTTAGCAAAACCATATCTAAGCATTTATTAGGGCTTTGATGAGCTATAACTTTCTATTTAATCTGCTCTTTTAATGCGACAATCATCCGAGGCATCGAATTTTTTGCAACACAGTGCACATCTACCATTACTCATATCACAGACGGGAGAAAAGTAGGAACTCTAAACAGCGGAAGTATTTTTCCTCTGTAACCTAGTTCTTAACAAATTATAACTCTCTTCGAAGTCTGTCAGTATGAATTTAGATAGCCCTTGTTGTAGCCGCAAGCTAGAGGTACAAAAAAAGATGAAAAGGGCCATGAAGATTTGCGAGAAAAAAATTAAAATTAGAATTGTCAGCTTTCAACAATTTTTCGTAGGCTTCAATGTCCCAAATTTGTAGTTTTCGGATTTTCTGCGTAGTAAACGCTTTTGCATAATCTGTCAACAGGATGCCTATCCTAAGCTTAAAAAGGAGCAAGTCTTTAGCAAATGCCTTCTTCAATAAGAAATAGGGTCACAGAATAACCAAAACGGCTACCGAGGTTAAGAAGCCGATATCTCAGTCTAGATAATTTCTGGGAAAACAAAGTGTGCTTAAAGTAGGCACTATTACAACAGTAGTCAAATTTTCAAAAGAACGCCATCTTGTGCTTGAATTCTAACTATGTAAATATAATAAAATAAAATTCAGGTTTAAGTGAGGGTATTTGAAAGTCTGCAAATTTTCAACAAATTATGTAGTTCAAAATCTCGTTTGAACCATCATCAGATAGAGCATGAATTTAGTTCCTTGATATTAAGCTAACAAGGGAGGTCGAATCAGTCGAAGTGGCCTTTCCAAATGGGTCACATACTGTTTTGAAGAGCGTTTAATGCTGATTCCGAATCTGTCTTGGCTGTCTGCCGAGCGCCTCTAGACGCCGAGTTATAAGCGTTCTTTGGGTTGAAAAATTAAATGCGTAATTAGAGCAAAATTCGTCAGAATTGCTCAAATGGTCCAATGTTGCTAATCAGAGCGCTCCATTTCAAAGGATATCTTCTGTCCAAAACACTCATACTACATGTTGTTCTAATTAGGCGCTAAAAAGTCCGTAATAGTTAATTTTGCTTGAATTCTGCGTTCATTTTTCGCTCCAAAAAACATTTATAACTCGGCATGCAGAGGCGCTCGGCAGATAATAAAATCAGATTCGGAATCAGCGTTTAACGCTCTTCAAAATGGTATATGATTCATTCGGAAAGGCCACATCGACTAATCGGACTTCCCTTGTAAGTCTTTGTCAAAGGAAAAAGATGGAAAGAACTTTCTAAACAAGGCCTATGCATCAACCTAATGCATTGAGATGACTAGGCTATCAAAATTCTGCCAGTTCTTCCTATAGAAACCAAAATTGAATGCGAATGCAATGGAGTGGTCCTGGGATGCTCAACGCGCGATGGCGCCCGCTATCAAATATGCTATTAATCGCTTGTATATCTAATTATAATCTCGTTTGCACATATTTCCAGGAATTAATAAATAAAAGTACGATATGTGCGTAACTATATGATGAATAGCATTGATGACATAATTGTAAACTTGCTGAAAGATCGATCAGAAGGCTGCGAAAATATTGGAAGTCAACCAAGCACAAGTTTTTGAGATAGGAAAACTCACAGAAAGATATGCCAATAAAAAAAGAGAGTAAAACCCATCTATTTAAAACTAATGGAAACTTCACCTCGGTACAGAGTAACTCCAGCTATTTTTCAACGATCGAGTCGACGTCTTCCGTTCGCGAATTTCATTTTCATCACCTGTAGTGGATATCTAAGAAAAAAAAATACACATATGGCCCTAGTGTATCTTTCACTGCACAAACCGTCGAAGGTGATAATTTGGACAGCATTTGTAACGTACAGATCCTTATCCTTATCTGTGCATCAAACAGCCTTTTAGGTTGCTGGCAACATTAAACCAGGTGACTTCTTGCTGTTGATATAAAAATTTAAAAATCCCAGACAATTGTCACCATAAGAAGGAGTTTTGGCTCCATGTGACAGACCTGCTTTGAGTTCAGGTTGATTATGATAGGTTAGAAATCATCAACCAAAAGATAAGAAGCTACTAGCTTTCATTCAATGATGAAATGCAATGAAATGAAATTTCATGAAGAGGCCATGTGACACTTCAACTAGGGAAGAAGTAAGAAAGAATCAAAAGATCATACCCAAATTAGACATCGATTGGGAAACTGCCATTCCTCCTTCCCTTCCTTCAATTTCTTTCTTCTCTTCATTCATCTTAAAGTTGGTTGAAGACGACTTGCTGAAATAAATCATGAGAACGAGAATAATTTTTTTGAGATTTTGAAAAGTTCTTTCGGGTTTTTCAAAAGAGTTAAGCATAATCCTTTTTGAAAAATGAGTCCTATGAGATAAAGTGCATCCGCTTAAAAAAGGACATGGAAGCCCTTAAGTTAATAGTTGCGAAAGCAATTTATTCAGCAGCCCATTTGCAGAGTTTTTTCATTTCTTCCGTTCGCTGCAATTCTCTACAGGATAGAAACGTTTTTGGTTCTCAAAAAACACCCGGCTTCTCTCCGAGAAAATTGTTTTCCTAAAAAAAATTTGGAACATAAACGTCTTATTCATCTAGCAAAAGACACCTTAAATCGAGTCATCGAATCGAGGAAGTGAAAAATATTGTTCATTGTCAGAATCAAGCCTCTTATCCATTTCATTGTTTATCTACACCGGCTTGATAAATAACGAACAGTCGGTGTCATTGTATTTAAGAATGGCATGACTCGCTTTCGCGTACCTCACTTTTGATCTATAGCAGGTTCTCGACAATAGAAAAACCTTTGACAAAATACCAAAGGCGAAGCACACTCTCCTCTTACTGCCCCTTTCCCATCTGAGGATGGGTCTCAAATTGAAGTTAAATTAGTGCAAACGGCCATTTCTAATTTCTGAAAGAATTAGTGGATCACTCAAGTGACATCTGGACCCGCCAGCAGCTTTTAGGGACCTTGCTATTGCCCATAGAGATTACATTTCGATTTTCCGACGCTGTCCGCTCAAAGGAGGGGAGAGGGGATTAGCAGTAAAGCATAAACACTTCAACAATCTAAGCAGAAATTTGTGAGATCGCTCATGAAAATATTTTTTGCCATTCATGACGTTCAGATAGAAACTTTGGGCAAATTCCTTGAAACCACTCAAAGTTGCGAATCAAGATGAGTTGGATAGAAATCTTCTGGGAATTTTTGTGGTGAAGCAAAAAAAGAGGGATCCATGTTTTTTTCACAGAATTCACAGAAAATAATATATCGGAAACGCACTTAAGCAGAGAAGTACTCTGGGCCTACATATGAGTTTTTTTTTTCTGACCATTCGAAGTGCCTGAAATGCCAGGTTTCATGTGTATTGCAACAAGTTGCATCCTTCAAATATCCATTCCTGCAACCACTCAAGAGAGAATTTTTGATAAGCATAGAAAATGCGGAGCGCGCCTGTATGATTGCAAAGTTAGCTTTTCTTATCCGCAGCACAAAAACAAAAAAATTACAAAAAAAGTAATGTTTAGAGAATCGAATTGATTTAGTATCTAATCTTGCTTACGCAACGGTGGAAAATTCTTGAGAGTCATTATAGAGCTTAGCGCTTCTTTTTTTCTCAAGGAAAAACCCAGCCTAGGACAAAAACTTAAAAAGTTTTTCAGTCATACGTCGGAATGATATTATTTTATTATTTGTAATATTATTATCAAAATGATATTATTTTTTCTCCCCTCTGTATATAATCGTGAGCTTTTTCTCCAACAGTTCTTTTATTCTTCCTAATTGCCTCTGCAAGAATCAGTAAGCTAGTAATTATTTCTAGGAATCTCATTATAGCCTATGGCTTACCTGCAAAATTGATCGCAGTAATGTTCGCCGCCGCTCTTCTTCAGAGTTTCAGCATTTGAAGCATAGATGGCACGGCTTTTCTAACTATAAGTTAACGACAAAAGTAAAGTGAAAGTGAGATAGCAACCGAAAGCTTCTAGAAAATAAAAAAGCTTGATTTACGCTGAATGAGCAAGTTTTAGTAAAGGATTTGCCCATTAGAATATTGAGAGAGCATAAGGATGTGAGAGAGTTGCCTTTATTTAGGAATCAAGAGAAGCTTATGGCATGGGTTCAGTCGCAAATTCTCAAAAGAGACGAATGCAGCACCTGATAAAAATCAGCAAATCAAAATGAGAACTCGTAATTGTGGTATTCAAATAAGTAAACTCAACATTAATTTTAGGTAGGATTGTAATTACATGCTCACAAAGAGTTAGAGGATAACCTGAAATTCGCTCTATAGTTTTACCTAATTCTTCTAAGCGATCACAAAGGTAGGATACAAAAGCTAGGCATTCGGAAATAGATGCATATTGAGGGACGGGCATACTTCACGCGATTTGGCAATATTCCAACTGTCCATAACTCAGTGTAAGCACATCAAAATTTACAGAAGATGTGACATTTTACCGATCCACGTAAGTTATAACATTATGTATGAGCATTTGCTAGTGTTGGATGTGAAGACTTCTGGCGAGTTGCCAAATCGCGTCGCGACTGAAATCGCATGAAGTGTGCCCGGCCTTTTTTAAGAATGAAGTGTAAAAAACGTACGTTTGCAATATCAATGAAAAACAATCATGAACTTAAAAGCGTGACAATTTTAGAGGGAAAGACAAAAGTAAGATGAAAATCAGTAACCATCCATCAAAGCGGGGAAGTAATATATATGAACTAAGGCCTTGCTGAAGCAAACATCGTCAAAGTAGGAACTCGAGGAGAATTATACTCATGAGCCCTCTTTGGTTAGAGTTAAGCGGCCCCTAGAAGAGATTTGTCGATCCTAACTAGAGGTGGAAACTAAGTTAGAATAGGCTTTCATACGTTTTAGACCTCCAGATATGTTGACGAACAATTAATGATTTCAAAGATTTTGAAATTTCACAGAGAAAGATATGCAGATTTTTTTATCACGTTAATTAGTAGAAAAAGACTTTACAAAAGCATCAAACAAATTTTTTCGATTATTTTGATTATGCTTGACAATGAAAAAACCTATGCTGTATGCTATTGTTGTGATGAATGTGTTGTGTATTGGCCAGACACGCGGAAGAGGAATCGATTGCAGGAGAAAACAACTACGAGGGAACAAATTTTTGACGAAAGGCACTACAAAGCGAAGCGAAGGGTGATCTCTGGATAAGAAATACCAATATAATTTCGTGTTGAAGAAAAATTTTAGAAAACCAGCTCGTGCATTCGCAGCAACAACGAAGTAGTAGATAGGGTGAAAAAACGCCGTTTGCTTGCGTTCTCATCCTGTTTACTCTAAAACTAGCGCTGTCAAAGACACTCCCACTTTTTTGCACTATCTTCCGTCTAGTCTTAGATTGAATAAGTGAGGAAGCAATACCGAACCTCGACATCCCTAGGGCTCCCCGTAGTGCATTGAAGTTTTTTCGATTCCTTTTTTAAATGGAAGCTGAAGATTTTTTGGGGGTAACTACCACAGACCGCATCTTACGAAAGTGTTCCGGAAGAGTCCTGAGACGATTTCACGCCTAGAGCGAACTTTTCCGAAGAGAACCCTAATAACTTTTTTAAAATCTTTGATTTTTGCTCAGTTACTGCTTAAGTGTTTACCAAAAAACAAATGCATTGCACGCTGCCAAATTAATTATGAAAAACACTCCGAAAATACCATTCCCTGGAGGGAGCCTTGAAGCTATTGCTCCTCTGATGCTGTCTCTGTGATTTCTAAGCTACTTCCTTCTTCATAGTAAATATTTTTATCTACATACACCAGACGACGTGTGTTGGGCTAGGAATTGAGTGTTGTACCAAAGATTTAAGAAATTCAGCTAAAAAAGGTTATGTAATCGTTTCAATCTATATTCTTTTTTCGTTGTGTATACTTCTCACTGTATACACTTACATTATGTTAAAATCAAATTCCAAAGGAAGATTTTCGAAAAATGCACGTTCGTCATAGGAACGATTGAAACGAAATTATCTTAGACAAAAAGTAGGTCTTAGAAATCAAGGTAAAACTGGAAGTGCTTGCTTTTCGAACATTTTTAGCCGTCGACATAAGCAAACAATGTGAGATACTTGCTTTTACCAACTTTCAGCTTTTTTTTGCAAAGATGTGACATTTTTGCTTTGAGCAGTAATAAAAAGCGCTTGACTAATTCCTTTCAATTTATGTTTGTCAAGCTAATTAAACCTAGAGGAACTTAAGGGCCGGGCATACTTACGCGATTTCAGTCGCGACGCGATTTGGCAATATTCCAACTGTCCATAACTCATTGTAAGTACATTTTAAATGTACAGAGGATAGGTCATTCTCTCAATCCACGTAAGTTATACACACTGTGCATGTGCAGTTTACTAGTATTGGATCCGATGGCGAATTGCCAAATCGCGTCGCGACTGAGATCGCGTGTAGTATGTCCGGCCCTTTATGGATCAAAAGTAGGTGCAAGCATTGCACTCTGACTTGCCAAAGAAAAGAAGAGGTATTTACCACATCATACAGTCTCTCTCTAACGATTCATTTGTGATTTTGCTTTCAAATGATTCACAACAGTACATCTTGCAGTATTAGCTCTTCTGCCCATTAAACTGTACACTTGGATCTTCAATCTTTGTCAGATTTCTATATCTGTATGAAGTAGATTTTGACTGGGTGCTTTTGTATTATGGTTAAATTACAGCAAAAAATAACTTCTTTATTACAGTATTGTTTAGAAAGACGTAGTTTCAAAGAAAGGTGATACGTCGATTGTAGTCATATATGATCATCTTCTGACCGACAACAGGTTACGAGCACATAGTCGGACTGAATTCTTCAATGACTCTCAAAACACCGACTAGATGCAAAAGACCAAATATAGTCATGAACATGAATATCAAGGCGAAAGCCAAAGAGACACCAATTGACATGAGCAAAACTATTTGAACATTCTGAAAAGAATTCCTTTTCTCTTGAATGTGGAAATTGCATACTAACCGATTTCGAGCTCATACCAGACTGCGATGATTTCGATTTGGTTGTGGACTTTCCAGCAACTGGCCTTTTACCCTTTTGATTGCTTTTTTGATTTGCTGAAGTCTGCTCTATTCTGAACGCTAACTCTTTAGTGATCGCATACCTTTAATAGGCTTGGCAGGTGATGCCTTTGGCAGCAATGGCTTTTTGGGTGTATCAGACAAATTTACGTCATCGCCAGCGCTACCAATCACTGGATTCATATGCGTTGTGCTCGTCTCTAACTTACCGTAATGGTTTGAGTTCATTAATATCCTTTTCCTTCTGTTCTTTCATTGGAGGCATCAATGGCGCTGGCGATGATTTGCCTGGTGGAGGAGGAGGAGGAGGGAGGTCTGGTGGAGGTGGCGGTGGCACCTCTCCCGGTTGTACTTCCAGTTTCTCGTATGTGTCCATTTTGCTGCAAAAGATCCGTGCAGAACTTGTAGGTCCCACTAAGAATCTCACAGAGATAGGCTGCAAAAGTGGTATGTCCCAGATGTGTGGTTGAATGCTGCTTCCTTTCGCGAATGGTCTGAATAAAAATGAGAAATACTCCTGCTAGCTTGCTTTGCATGTTTGAAAACTTTTATAAACAAAGCGATACTACTCGCAGTCGATTGTGGTCACTTCATTTGAAGTTGTGTAAATCCGAGGATGGTGCATATTTGCAAATGTTAGGAGCAACTGCAGACTTTAGAGTTTCAAAATTATGGGGATACAGCAAATTTGCAGCTTCCAGAGTTTTTTAAACAAAATATTTTCAAACTCTCCTTGCGGCGATACATGCCAAGACTCATCAGCTATACAGTACAGCTATACAGGGAGTCCCAAAAAAAGTGTGAAGTGTTTGATCTCTAATAACCCTCTTGCTTTCATCTCTTTCGCCAATTCGCAGAACTTTTTGAATGACCCAATTGAATTTTCGACGAATTTCAAAAATCGTCGTTACGTTATATCTGGCATAAGTTATGAAAAAAGCATTACGGTGAAGCGCGAGTTTCATATTTAAAATCAGTGACCCTGATTAACCTAGTGTAAATTACAAATTCTTTAGTTCTCTCCAGAGGTAATATATAATCCTCAATGACGCAAAATGCGTTTTTGAAACACTGTATAATTCACCATAAAAAAATACAATGCCTTGAGCCGATTTTGCTGCGGCGGGTGTCAGTGCTTTGAGTACAGGAAATGTCTTTTCTCCAATTTTTCATCGCATTTGAGAAGTCATGCTCTCTGACTCCGTTTTTCCATGCATTCGGTAAGTCCTTCTCTTAATTATAAAGTAGATACTGTTGCCCTCTTTACTCTGTGACGATGATTACTTCAATTAGAAAGCAAGTGCAAACTTGAATCTTTATGATTTTTATCTTATATTACAATCTGTTTTCCATCTAGGGTATTTTTACTCAGTAACGAGAATCACTCAAGCACGACAGCCGTAAGCGGAAGTGACAATAGAAAAAACTTCAACAATGAAAATTTGAGTACTATTGGGGTGTCCCATAGTTTTTTTTACCGTTTTTACTATGAGCTTTTTATGTAACTTCTTGTATCTTTCCTTCAAATGATGTGGCCTGAGTAATCATTGGATAGGGCAAAGCAAGCTCTAAAAGATAGCTATCAAGAGTTTGCCCAAATCATATCTCACATGAAGTTTTGAGCTGAAATCCGGTAAGAGTCAACAACAAATTCTACCGTCAAAAGTCGCATCTTTGCCTCGAAAAATCTCAAAGTTTCCATATTCATCTTAGCATATGCTTGATCGAATATTCAGTTGAGCAGTTTCCGCATCTTTTCCATGCTTAAAACCAAAAAAAATGAATGCAGTAAAATGGCAAACTCCGCTCTCAGACGTCCGAACTCTTCCCACGCACTCCATCATATACCTCACACATACAGAAATACGATCATGTATTTGTATCGTAGGTGCCTCACTTCTAGAGAAATACTAAGGTTTAGGGTAAAAAAATTATGGCATACCCCTATATGTATAGATATAGTTTTTGTTGTAACAAACAGAGTTGAAAACAAGACTTTTACGCCAACCATCTTGCTCGGACAGTATGATGTTCTTGTTTGTCCTCGAGCGAGAAATCGGGTGGAAGAGTCGTATACCTTCCAAGATCCAGCATAACAAATATTTTGTTCTTATTATAAAATCTCCACTTTTCTCTAGCTAGTGTCTACCTAGCACTCACACTTTGTCAATTAACATAACTTCTGAATCAGCTTATCCTTCTAATTTTATCAAATTTACTCAATTTTATAATCCTTTCTACATTTTTGATCCATTTTAGGTATTAACATAGCACAACACATCTGCACCATTAATGCTCAGCGCAATCAGGAAACGGGAAGAGTAAACATATTCACGTATGCGAAAACTTCGTGGGCGGTGGTCACCAGTATTCCAGGCTCTGAAAAGGTTATTGAGTTGGTGCAAAAATTATGGGCGTTTTGCGAGTTCCCACTTTGAGATGCTATAATTTTTTCAGAAATCCGCATTTATCGAAGTGAAGAAGAAGCAGTATTTTGGCAATACAGCGCACATTTACCTATACTCATATCACGAACGGGCGGAAAAGATGGATTGAAAAACAAAACAGTTTTTTAAAAGCCTCATTTTTGAAAAATCATAACTCCCTCCAAAGTGTGTTAGTATAGATAATAAGTAGCCTATCTTGTAGCTACAATTCAATAGTATAAAAGAAGATGAAAAGAGCTTGGACAATTAAGTTTGCGAACAGAAAAAAGTTCATAATCAAGTTTGTCACCTCTTTGCAACATTTTCTCATAGGCCTTAAAGTCCCAAATTGGTTTTTTTTAAATTTTCTGCATACTGAACACTTGAACTTTGCAAACTGTTAACTTTGTACTGTAAACAGGAGGCTCCACCTTTACGCTTAGAGAAATATGCGACATTTGAAGATTGGTCTTCAATATATTCAAATCCATGGACCAATGACCCCAGCTATTACTTGTTTAGGTGCCAATATCTCAGCTTAAAGGCACCGTCCACCCTCAGTTGAGGGTGTTGAGCTTTTGGCAGCTTATGATAGTAGGGCCCCTGTCATTCCAATGCTCAAGTCGCAGCGCAAAATGCCGCTTAGGAAGCGAGAAAATCGCTTCGGAATAGCGAAGATGCGCGAGGACCCCCATCCATGCCCGCCCATTTGTGCGCCCCCATCCAATCACCGTTCCGAAAAGCCGGACTGTGGGCTCTCCGGAACGGGGATTGTCGGGGTTTCCGCGCATTTTCGACGTCATCGGAATCAGGGACATGAGAAGTCCCTGAAACGACAAAAACGTGGAAGTCGAAATTCTGGGCGGACGGTGCCTTTAAATCTCAAAAAGTATAGTTCACAGTACATCAAATAGGAAATTTCTTCTGCATACAGCGGCTGAATATACGAGATTTGTGCATAAATTTTTGCCATAAAAGTAAATGCAATGGATATCTGATTTTGAGTGCAGTTTGTGAACCTCTGTAAAATTTCAACAAATGAGGCTAGAAAGCTGCTTAACCATCATTAAATAGACCATGAAAAGATCTTTTTTAAAACTATGGTGAATCTGCTTCAAAGAGGGAAGTTTGGTAGGGAAAAGTTGTATTCAAAGTAGGTGTCGAAAAACGCTCATTATTTTAGCAGCAACCCAATAGAAGCAATCAAGAAATTCATTTTACCGTTCGAACACGCATCCGATTGGGCCATGGAAGCACGTTAACGCTGGAAGAGCCTAGCGGATAAACTATGTATTTCAGTCTTTCTGGCTAAAAAAGGAACATGGTCCTTTAACGTCAAAATGGCGATGATTGGGTTGATCAAATGGAACACCGTGAGTGAAATTATTCCTCCATAAATCAGTGCAGGATAGAATGTTATCATAACTTATAATAACGGGCTAAGGATGTTTACGTGTTTTTGTGTGTGTGTGTATGTCTGTGTGTCTGTCTGTAACGAAATTCGTAGAGCGTGTTCCAGCCAACGTCCTGAGCCCAAATTTTGCACATCGCATGCGACCAACATAAGAGCCTACCATGCAAAAGCACGAGCGATTTTGTTGGGTGGATCTCACAGAAACTGCGCGTCAAACGGAACCGCTTGGGTTCCGGCCAGCAAAATTGGTTCCGTATCACCACCTTTTGCAAAGTCGGGGATGTGTTTGGCATGCTAATGTGCAAGCCATGAACTTTAGTCCAAAAAAGTGGACAAAAGTTTACTACTTTAAGAGGAAGACGCCAAATGAAATGGTTGCGTAAATGGTTAATTTGCCACAGTTTTACCTAAGCATTCGAGAAAAATTTTGCACAGAGATGTAGCTCACGTTGCCTACTGTCCTTATGGCAGCTACCAAACCAGAAAGAGTCCAAAAACCTACTCAAATTTGTATTTGTTCTTCTGCGAAAAGTTTCATCCACGCGAAATCACCGATCTCACATGAAAAAGCATTTGGAATGGGTAGTTGTTTACATTTTACTCGCGATAATCGGCACCGCGCGGTGAGTTTCATTGCCATCATTAGTCAAGAATGAGTAAGAAGGCATATGAAGTAGGACCAGTGCGAGCCTCTGCGAAGCAGAGGTGACGCACTGGTTCCAGAATATAGTAGAAAAGGTTGTAGTAGCAGTGGAACCGGCAGCAGTACAATGAGATTGAAGGTCTTAATAACTTTAATCCTGCAGTAAACAACAAATAATTTTTTTATTTAAATACCTGAGCGAAAAGCATGTTGTTCGAACGACGTTGTAATCGTTTCGTTCTCGTGCTAAATGTAGGTTCTTTTAGTTTTTTCCTCACTTGTTGAGCAAGATAGATAGCAAAAGCGAATAGAGATAAAGTTATTGCCGATGTTTCAGTGTGAATTATGTGCTGGATCCAATTTCCATTTTTCTGTAATGCGTGTACCTCTCATATCTTGATTCCGGGTATTTTTACTACCATACTTACCTTGAAGCAAAAACCTATGGATGAGTGGTTATTAGGGTCTGCTCCGCTCAAAGACACTGTTGTGGTGAAGTTTTCATCCAGTTCGCCTGGTTGGATCCTGTCGGCAAAACTGAATACGATACCAGCAATCCAGTTGACCATTATTAGTGCATTCACAATAATTAGAACCAGATTCCACGGAGGGGAATACATAAAGCGGAACTTAGGCCTTGATAAAAAATGAGTTTGAAATTTTCTGGCAATCGTGCAGTATTTAACATTTGGATTTATTCATCGCGGGCGAATTGAAGTAGATTATAAAGCTGCAGTTTGAGGCAATTCACCCAATTCTTTTTGTAGCGCCAGACTACATATTTTTTGCGTTGTTTATCAATCGCTTGGTAGTTTTTTCGAAAATTTTGACAAAAAGTGTCCAAAAGATATTATGTGACAGACATTCTTAGTAGACATTCTATGATTCTTCTTCGCTTCCAAACGGGTGAGGGAACTTACAAATTTTGAAAAGCCTGCAATCAAGTAGTTAGCAAAGTTCATGAGGGGTCAGGAATTGGCAGCAACGCTAATTGCACCCAATTTGCACCAAAGACGAGCTAATGCTCATGTAGCTGCGTTATTATCCTACAATCTATGAAACCAGGTTTCTGTCGAAATTCGAATTCGGAGTTCAGTGGTGATTTTAGTCCATTTAAGGCAAAAATTTGTATTTAAGGGTATTCTGTGATGCTTTTCCGAATATGTTGCTAGCTTCGCTCGAACCTTGGATTTACTTTCTTGAATTTTTACTTTCGCAAATCCGGCAAAAATTTCATGTTATTTAAGGGTTTTTATGATGCTTTTTTCCGAGTATGCCGATGCTTTTGCTTGAAACTTTGAAGTTTTTCTGTTTTCCAAATTTTGGTTTTTTCCGTAAATTCCACTGTAATTTTGATGAAGACATTTGGGGGTTTTCTGATATGCCGTTTTGGTTATCAAATTTGCTTTGAAGTTTGTGTAAAAAGTTTTAATTTCAAAAACTTTAAAGAAAAAAATTCAAGGTTTTAAGAGAAACCATGAAATTTCTTTCGCATTTTCGGAAAGAGGATGTCAGAAAACCCCTAAATATCGATTTCATCAAATTTCTAAGGGAATTTATCTGGAAAAAAAACTGAGGTTTTAAAAGAAAAATATTTCAAAGTTTCAAGCAAAAGCAATTGGCATTTTCGGAAGCATCATTATAAAAAACCCTTCAATGACAATTTTGAAATTATTGTTAGAAAATTGGTGAAACAAAATCTAAAAAGAAGGAGAATTTGAGATTCCTAGCAAAAGCAGCATCATACTTAGAAACAACATGACAAAGTACCTTTCAATACATATTTTTGTCTTAACTGGACTATAGGTACTGAGCTTCGATCTAGAGTTTCGACAAAATCCCGGTTTCATAAGCTGTAGAATAATGGCGTAGTTACCATGAGCAAAAGCTCTTCTGCGTTGCTGCCAGTTCAGATCTTTCATAAACTCTGCTAACTATGTGGTGGCAAGACTTTTGAGGTAAGTAAGTTCCGTTTCCTCTTCCAAATACTTGGGGAAAAATCTTTAAACAAGGATTTGAGATATATATTGAGATGCTGCATAAGCATAAGTGGAAAGTATGGTGGTAGCTTTAAAATTATCTGTGGAATAATCGTAATTTACCTTAAGCTCAAGCACGTATCTTGATGTACCGTCTAAAAAAATTTCCGCATATAGCAACTTATAGTTTAAGCTCTCCTGTACGAATTATGATATGCTCCGCGCTCTCACCCGCTATTTATTTACCTACGCAAAAAAGTGCGATGACCATAACCAATGAAAAACCAGAGATATAATTAGTAGTAAGAAATAAAGCAAAATGCTATTTTACCAGAAAAAACTATCGATCAAAACCGCTTATGACTTCAATCGCCTGTGCTTATTGGGAAAAAAGGATTATACAAATTGACTTGAAGTCCTAGATCTTTCTTGAACTACATAATTTGAACATTACCTGCAAAATACGACGTATTTATGCATGAAGCTGTTAAGTATGGCCATCACATAAGTCAACAGTGATGTGTAATTGTACAACAAGAGTAGCACCCCAACCATGTTTGAGCTCACTAAACCAGTGGCAACAATCGCAAAGCATTTTTTGTATACCACTGATCTCTGAAACGGCGAATGGAAACCCACAATTTGAAACTAAATCACACTCACCGGAACCGACAACATAAATGCTGAACATTTGCATGTGTTCATGATTAAAACAGTGAAGAAATTAGTTTTAGAACCAATTTGTTGTCGAGATTTAAGTACAAGAATATAGAGAGCAATCAAATCCAAAATAAGAGATAAGATGCCAACCGCTTCAACTGTTAGAGTTAAAGCGTCTTGCATTCTGAAAACATCACTTTAAATAAATGCATTGCAATCTTGTCCAATTTAATTCGCAATTTAGGCCATTGTGAAAAAATGACAATTTTATAGAGAGTTTTGTTTTTCAGCATAGTCGCTTCAACCTCGCGGTAATAAAACTCTCAAAAGTGGAGTCTTTACCTTCTAGTCACGAAATTTTTATCGACAATTATGCTAATTACCTATATATACGTCTTACGATTGGTATGCAGCTAAATCAAAAAAGTTCTTCGCGGATCTGAACAGACTAAGTCTTTCTTCTAACCACTGCACTTCTGAAAGTATAACAACAAAATTGTACATCAAAAGCTGGTAGATTCTTTCCTTAAATGGTTCATGTCTTTGCAATAACCGATAAAAACCATATGAAAAGTTTCACTGATTTTTTGTTTCCGCACTTGATAGATTGCTAATGCCCAATTGACGGCCCCTTAGATGGACGCTCATAAAAAAGCCTTATGAGGATGTTTGTCTTGAATTGCACTAACAACTGATCGAAATTTGTAAACACTTTTGTCTATGAAGATGTCCAAAAATGATACTTCTAGGAAAAATATATTACGCTATTACAGATAAGGAAGTCGAGCAGTGAAGTGGATTGGTCTTTCATCCAACTTTTCGAAATCATCCAGTCAATTCAGCAGTTGTAGTTACAATTGGTGAGCGTAACCTGAAATAATCACGTCCGGCCTTAAGGAAGCCGGATTAACCAGAGGAGCTTACATTTGCAGGAGGTGCAGCAAGCATAAGACCAAAATGATGACTCGGAAAAGTTAGTCTCACTGCGCCAACCTTTGTATGCAAGTTTCACAAGTTTCAGCGTTGATCTTTGATTCGTGCCATCAGAGGCGAACTTTTGTAACTAATACTGAAGCTTTCAAGGAAACGAAAGCTTGTAGAGTTTCATGTTAGAAAATTATCCATCCGCAAATCTACACATAAATATGATTACTGAAACAAAATTCTTCAAAGAGTGGAGCCATCGGTGTCTCACGCGTCAATGGGTCATATAATAGGGGCTAATAAATAATTACGGTCGCTTTTGCAACTCTTAAGATGCTGCAGACGATATTTTGGCTAGTATTCGGCAGTTATGGAAAAGGCACTTTATAGAGAATGGCTCAGAAAATTTATTTGAGGAGAATTTATTTTCTTTTGAAAGGAATTCGCAAAGAAGTGAGAAACCCCAAACTTTTCTATGAGCGCAAATATGAGAGAATTTGGTTTTTCGGTCAAAGATTTTTGAAATGGGAGATCGATTACAATTTCTATTGCATTTTCTAAAGAGGGGAAACTGTCTATATCCAAACACCAAATTGCTGTTCTCTACATTCATTAGAGCATGAAAATGAAGCTCAGAAGGGCGCAGAATTAAGGTTTCGCGATTTTAGCCATGTTAAGGCATAACAATCCCTTACTGATCATTGAAACTTCTGACTAATCGATATGTGCCAAAATAACCCTTCAACTACTTACCTACAAGAAATACTGAGTGAAGAACATTTAGGAAAGTTTTTAAGAAGACTTTCATGTTAGAACGAAATTATTTTTTAATCGACCTAATAATCAACCCATGACTCCCTCAGACACTAGGTTCCATTGCGATGCTTTGGACCACGGGACACTGCACATTTCTTCATCACTTCCTCATTGTATCGTGCCTGTGAATTGGTATAGGCTAAGATTTGCTGGTTTAAAGAACTACTCCATTTTGGGCCGTCTTTGCAGAACACTGGCCTTAAACGACGTGCAAGAGCATTGCAAAAGGACCACTTATCTGCGGGGCAACCCAAAACGGCGGTTTACGTTTCCTTACCCAAAATAGGGTTGGCACTATGGGCTCCGCATCGTCAGGTGTTGCACCATGTTTATGCTCTCACGTAAGAAGTAATGCTGGGACCAATCTTTTCTCTATTCAGTTTCTTCCTTTATCCAGAGGTGTTTTACGGCAAATGCGAAGAAAAACTTTAGCGCAGCTAGATTGAGACAGACTCCACGACTCTCGCAGTGCAGAAAATAGATGTGCGCAAATAGATTGGTTTGCAACGCCGACTTCCCTCAATGCCCTGGTCGGTCCGCAGCTGGTCGGCCATTTTAATCACTCCCACCTTACCGGCAGACAGTGGAGAAACCATTGATCCAGTACAGCAGGACCACTTACGTCCACCCCAATCACGACTTGTGTTTCAACGACGAGCGTTCGGCCGGAGAAGCAAGAAGAACCAAGATTAGTGACTCATCCGTGCGTAAGAATATCATCATTAGAGTACGGAACAATTAGGTGCCACATACTGTGAGATATTTGGTTGATGCAAACGTTTTGTCGCATTATTTTCAAAGAATTTCAACTTCTTCTTGTATCAACGGATTTGCACAAAATCAATTCTGCTAGATAGAAGAGACCCTCTTTCGTGATAGTGCCTTTGCTGCTCTCTAATAAGAGTAACTTACGCGATGGAAACAGGAGAATTGCTTCAAGTGAGAGTTTACGGGTTCAGAATATGTACCAAATTTCGAGTTTTTCGGGTACATCCTGGGGCTCGTTAAAAATACGTTGTGATGATTTCATCCACAGAAACTAAACGAAGTGGAAACAAAAAAACACTTGTTAGAAAGAAGAGAAAATGCTGCATCGAAAGTACGCGGGCTGCTCTTCTTTTGGTGTTCTATGAGCTGCCCAAGTATGGAAATTGGGAGCGTCCGTCGAAATTCTGTTAAAAATGTATGAG